TTTACTAGGTTTGTACGTTTGCATTTTTAGGAAAAGTATTCAGTTCTTGATGTGTGTGTACAATAAAATAAAATAGAAACTCATCATATGTATATACCTAAGCAAAACAACACAAGCGCGCATTTCGCGTGCCATTTATCTTTAACCATTGCAAATTTCACGTTTAGTCGCTATCGTTCTCTTTCAATCTGTCACATTGTTTTTTAAATAATCACGAAATTTCTGTTAGAAACAATCTGTTTCATACACAATCTCTTTGACAGCTGTCAAAATTCAATCGTCTTGTCACTGGCAGCTATCTCGTAGCACGAAGTGAGCCAAGCGAGACAGCCAATCAGCATCGCGGAAAAGAAACAGCAATACACTTCGAGGCTTTCGAGTATCGACGTCTTTTTTGCGAGAGGAAAAGAAAAATCCGCGCTTTATTTTGCCACAAGCTTGGCGGCGCTCGATCAAACGACGTCTGTGGTCCAAACAATTAAGATCAAACTTATACACGGAGAGAATTTTCTCTGAAAATTTACCCTGAAAATCGTTGGACAACGTGGCATTTTGAAGAACTTTATGAGAGTTTCTTGAAAGTTTACCATACATTTTACTAATAAAATATATACTAAGTATAATTACTAGTAAAATGTATGGTAAAATTTCAAAAACTCTCATAAAATTCGTTGAAATGCCACGTTGTCCCACGATTACAATATTTTCAGGATAAATTTTAAAATAAAATTCTTTCCGTGTAGTTAACGCGTTAAACTTCACGATATTATTTTTACTACGATGTCTTCGCCAAAGAGATGTCAGGGAATGGCGATATTACGCGAGAGGGTGTAAAGGAGCCCGCACAAAATGCATTTAGAATTGGACGAAGAAAGTTTGTGGCGGAAAGTAAATAAAAAGGACCGAAAAATTTATATTTAAAAAAAAATCTTTTTGGACATGTTTTTTTAACACATCAAGAGACCCGGTAGCGTCGAGCATAAAAATAACGACAAGCCGTCTGCGACCATGTTCGTGTCATCGTCCGGCGCTATCGATTCTCTTTTTCTGGAAATTTTCCACCTCGAATTTTTCGATTAAAGAAAATAATGACGCAATAAAAAACTTTTAACGACATTTTTATGATGTAACGCTCTCGATATTCCAACCGGTCCGAAAAAATTGGTAGTCCCAATGCGGGGATGCGTCAAAAAATGAGATGCAAAAGTGGCAAAAAAATGCCAATTTTTTTTCTCGTCGATGTGAAATCCATATGTACGTACTGAAGCGCGTCAGTTCGGAAAATGATAGGATCTATATCGACGGAATCAAGGAGGTGGTTAAAGTTTGATATTGAGGAGAATTTGCCGTGAAGGACCTCGCGTAGCAGTCGGAACGAGTTCGGCACAAGAGCCCACGTTTATGATCGTCGAATTTGAGAAATCCTCGAGTTCCGATGCCCGGGTAATTGGCTTTTAGAATCCCGAGTTGTACAATTTTTCAACTATTTACAATATCTTACAAAAACTTACAATTATTACCGGATCTTAAACCGCCTTATTTGTTGATTTTTCAAATCCACTTCTCGTTCCTTTGCTCACATTCTTTGGCCTTAAATTATTCACTTCTTATTCTCTTTTTTTACTCAAAAATTTTATCGTTCCTCGGACTCCATTTGGTATTTTTGCGTGTCTCAAATTACGTTTCTATTTAATCTTTAAATTTCAATCTATCTTTCCCGAAGCGATAACTTTTCTATCTTACGCAATTGTCGGTTTTTCTTTACCCGAAACAAACAATTATCCTGCGAGGGATTTCGGGGGAAAGGGAGGCAATAAGATTTACGAGGACGATAAACGTCATTGTCCTGAGTGACCACATAGAGCAGCCGTGAGGACGTCTCTAATAAGACGAGCGTATCCGGCGTGCACGTCGCTCCTGGACTGTATGCGAGCTTTTACCGCGGCGATTCCGCTGTGAATACAAGCAATGAATGGTGCCGTGATAACCGCACCGTCGTCCTTATCTGTACACCGTAATCCCGCTTGTGTCACTGTAACTCGCGGGACGACGCGATAAAGTGCGCTGCGCTGCAGTTGCACCCGACCTTGCCGCGCATCATTGTACAGATTTATCCTGACGTTAACCCTACCGCTTACAATTTTGCATCTCTCTCTCTATTCATTTTCTTCCTCCCTCTCTCTTTTCCACGTCTGTATACGCGATGCTGCGAAACTGAAAGGACGGATATAGCACAGGCGTTACCGAGATTAGGAATCGAGTTGCAAAAAGAAGATTGAAGAGAATAAATATCAAGAGGGAAAAGCCCCAGTTCAATTCCTGCGACATAAAACCCTTGAAATTTTCGTGGTAAACGAGCGTTTGATACGCGCATATTTATATCGCGGCATAGAAATAATTTATTGGAATTTAATGAAAATGTTACTTTTAAAACCCGTTCAATTTAGAATATCAAATATTGCGGTAATAAAAATCCAAATTTAACGAAATTTCGATATTTGTTTCATTCCGCTTAATTGGATAAAAAGTTGAAGCCACATTTGGTGATTTAATAAGTGTTCTTTTAATGCTTCCGCATTTTCGATTGTTGTGACAATGGCGGGTTGAAAATGAAATCGCGACGACGTGAAATCGAGCCGGATTAGGAAAGTTTTTATTTCCACGTGATAAACGCGTGTTTTCTCTGCCGGTGGCATTTGCCGGGAGGCCGAAAGGATTAAAGGAAGCGTTGCTAAGAAGGCGGATGCAATATCGAGTTTGCAAAATAAAGCGATCTAACGGGAACGCAGGTAGTTCTCGTTTACCATCCACGGTATCAAACTACGGAGCACCGCTTTATGAATATGTAAAGTCCGTTAGAGGCGCCCCAGCAAATTGTTTGTGGATCGCATCAAATATTGACAGGGCGCTTGTAAATTTATTCACGGCCGAAATAATGTATCGCGGCCGCCACGAGGCCGGATAAGTTGAAAATCCCGAGTTTCCCTTCCGCAACGGGGGAAATGAGATTCTTACTCTTTGTTTACGAGATACGCAAAACTGCGATTGCGAAATCCTTCAATACCCCGAATTCCGGATTCGCGGATTTGATATCGAAAATTGGCATTTGCAGATAAACCGCGCTCTCCCTTTCGTATCGTGGCCTCCTTATCGTGGATTCCAATTTTTATTCTTAAATATTGTAAATTTCGTATTCCCGTATTTCCATACCGAAACCTCCAAAGCTTCGAACATTACCAGACTCTCCGAGATACTCTTACAGGTTCAGAAATTATAATTTCACTACAATTCATTACAACGTATATTAGAGCGAATAAACGCAATTTTTTTATTCCATTCATAAAAGTTACGCGGACAATATTTAGGCATGTCGAGATAAACTCCATCCTGTTTAGCGATAGTCTTTTTTTTTTAGAAGAAAGACTACTCCCTCGCTCATAAGAGAACTGTAGAGCGTTAAGGAATTCCAAACAAATTGCCGGAAGTTAACCGGTTTCAGCACTTGCGGCGTTACATGTAGACAATTAGTGACGGAATTCTCCTGTGAATTCCCAGCCGTATAAAATGGGCTTTAGCGGATAACACGTATCTGGGGACGTGTATTTCGAGCAATCGGCGGAGTCGCCAATTAGGAGGCACGTGAGGAAGCTACAAGGACGATAATGAAAATAATAATTAGCCGGCGTAGTTGCGGTCCATTAATTGATTTGGCCACCGTCATCGTTCTGGACGGTCACTTAATTAACACGGCCGGGCAATCAAGCGGCCGTTTACTCCTCTAATCACATTGCCGCTGTCCATTTTCCGCGACACGCGTTTATTCTTCTCGCGAGATCTTTTTAACGAATTAACCACCGGGCGCGCAAATAAATATCAAAATCCCCTTCCTCGCGCAACATCCGAGGGAGAGCGCCACCGGCTTAAAATTAACTTCGGAGAATTCTAGAAAATAAATCTCGAAGAAAAAAAATTAAACCGAGCTTCAATTTAATATTTTTGCACTGTAGCTTTTAACGTCTCAGAAAACTGTATGAAGGTTCTCTAGACTTTATATATATAATTTTAATTAGCGCTTTCCTGTCGCTGAAGCAAAAAAAAATCGCAACAAACTCGATAACAGAAATTACTGCAGGTTTCTTTTTTCTGAAAACATCACATGGACCAGCCATAAACTAATCGACGCGGCCTGTCGTGGGGTCATTGCATTTCACGAGGGGTTGGGAAGGGGTTAAAGGATGCAGAAGGCAACAGGGTGATCGTGATGCGGGTCGCTATCGCGAGGATGATGACGCGTGATTTGTTGAATTATGACCGGTGCTCTGGCCGCAGCGATCAACCTCGCGTGTTCGCCCTTCCGGCATTACCATGGCAAATCAGATTGACGCACCCCTTTCGTGTGTACGACTCACCGCCGTCGCCGCCGCTTGTTTTAATTACATCAAAAGCGATAGATGACACGTCGCCCAACAGGCACGGCTTGTCCATTAGGCGCAGAACTTGTACGAGCATCGAAACCTTTGGCGTATTATGCCACTACACGCATACATCTTCGTGTTATCGTCGATAATGTTAAAGATTAAATAGCAAATCTATCTGATTTAGCATCAAATAGTATATTTGATCACTTGTATGTCAGTTCGATCGATTCGTCTTGATTATTTATCTATTTATCGCGCGCATACGTTTACTTATCAGAGAAGAATCGTCAATTATTCTCTCCCTTATTGAAATTATCTAAATATATTTTATTCCCGCTCCAGCGCTGGTCTCTTGCAAATTGCAAAAATGTTCAGATATGCGATAATTTACGATTTTCATACGACCGTTCGACTGCCGGTTGGTAAAGTTTGCATTTCTCCGGGACATAGTAATTCTTTACCTGACTGTCAAAACTTTGTAGAACCTTAAAAGACTGAAAAATGACCTTTTAAGGCCGTGCGACGTGAACTATCAGGTGTCGAGGCTGTCGATCGATCACGGAATAATTTTATTGATTACAGCCGGCGCGAGGGACGGTGGCGGTAGACGGTATCCTGTGATTGTGTTCGTGCACGGCGAGAGCTACGAGTGGAGCAGTGGAAATCCTTACGACGGCAGCGTCCTGGCGAGTTACGGGGGTGTCGTCGTCGTCACCATCAACTATAGACTCGGCATTCTGGGTAAGTCATGACAGATGCCTTCGGTCCCAATTCGCTGACGTCTAGATCCCCGCAGCCCAGGAATCCCGGATTTTCAGGAGAGCCAAATCTCTTCGGTTTTTTGGACCTGAAAATCTTAGTTGCTCGAGGATACCTTTGTCAATCCTCGGGTGTGAATGAACGTTGAGGAATTTGGGTTTCAATCCCTAAATCGTTGCCGCGATCCCTAAATCGTTTGGATTCTTAAAATAGTTTCTTAGTCCCTTGAATCTTTGAATAATCGATCCCAACTTCCGAGGTCTATTAGTCGCCAGACTTTCGCGCCTGAACGCCAGTTTCCCCTCAATCTCTTTACATTTTCGGTTTGCCTCATGGAACTTGCAATTTTTGAATTCCTTGAAAAGTGCACTTTTATTTCCACGCACAAAGAAACGCGGATCTTTAAATGATCCCTCAGCCATCTTTTTTACCGACACAGTCAAATATAATTTTTGCGCTTGGAAATCTTTTTATTGGCTTCAATGCACAAAATAATACCAGGATAAGTTGCGGACCGCATAGTAGAACATTTTCATACTTCAAACGCTCGGTTCAGAGTTAAATAAAAAAGTTAAATAAAAAAAAGTATTTGAAATTTTCAATTTGTAGTTTGTGTTAAATTTGAAATTCATATGTTTAATTTCTCTTCGTTCTTTATAGAAAATTGACTGTCCCTGGCTTTATCTTTATGCGTACTTTAATCGTGCAGAAGAATTTTGCAATTTTATAAAGCTAATTTCAACAACACAAACTGCAAATAGAAACTTTCAAATGCCAATTAATTTTATTAAACTTCTGAACTGAGTGTTTTACGTATGAAAATGTCCCTTATCCTGATCGTGTTTTATGCATAAAAATCAATAAAAAGAATTACACGCGCAAAAACTATATTTGACTCTGTCGGTGAAAAGAAGGTGGCTGAGGGATCGTCTTAATTCTTTATGTCTCCACTTCTCGTAGAGTGGCAACTTCTGAGACTTTTCTTACCTATATATATATTTCTTATTTCTTAACTTCTATATACAGTCCTTCTCTCCCCTCTGCGTGAGACCTCGATAATTAATCTCGATCGCTGAGTCAGATATAACTTTTGCGAACTGTTTGGAACTCAGATAAATCACATATGTTAGTTGCTCGCTTAATGGTGTGAAACGCTACCTCGCAGCAGTTAAGGCTTGAAACGAGCCAGTCGACCGTAGCTCATTAGCTATTTAGGGCCGGTTACACCGACGTCACTTAAGGCTAAGTGTGTTTACTCAATTTTCCTGCTCCATCCATAGGCAAATGTCCGGACTGGGGGCCGCGGCCGCGAAAGAGGCGGCCAGCCGGAAGTCGGTGTGTTGGTGCAACCCGGTCCTTGAAACCGGTCAATTAGTTCAAAACACGTACGCGCCCGCGCCCAAGATGCAGACCGGCCGGCGTAACGAGACGTTACGCCATTAGACAGAAACTTGTTACCCCGTGACGTTTGACGTGCGACGCTCGCTGGGAGACCGCAGAAAAAAGTAGACGAGCACGAAGAAACGATGGCGGGAAGCTGGCCGCGAACGCCACGGGGATTGCAAGTTCCGGCGACCGGGGGTTGTTGCCTGGCAACCCGGGCAACCAAATCTAATAGGAAACTCATTACGGCCAGGTCTTCCGTTTCACCAAACTAAATTCTTGACTCCACTCCCCCCCCCCTCTCTCTCTCTCTCTCTCTCTCGCACTCTCTCATCCCGTTCTTCGGTGCGACAGCAAGCCCCGCTGTTCTCGTCTATCACCCTCGCTGCATACAGGGTGTTTTAAAACCCTCTCGCCCTAAGATTTCCACGAGAGAGGATTAAAAACCGCGGGAAGAAGTGTTCAAGCGGAGCGAAGGATCGGAAGAGAAGCGACGCTCTGGATTAGATTTCAACTGTCGTTAAAATTATCATCGGGATTTCATTATTAGCCGACTATATATTGTCATCATAAAGTGCCACGGGACGTAGCGCTGAAGAGAGATTTATGCGTGAGAAGAAGACCACGAAAAAGTAGCATTGAAGAAGGTGGGCGGAGGGGATGCAATTTCTCGTTGAAGTAAATCCGAGAGGTGACAACAAATGGTAAATCCAAATTCTGGAATTCGATTCTGTCGATAGCAGGACGAGGGGGGGAAAAAAACAAAAAGAGCCACAAGAGAGAAAAAAAACCGCAGCGAGTAGCGGGATAAAATGGCGACGCCCAGGAAATTCCACTCCGCAGCGACCGCAGTTTTTTCCTCGCGCGCGCGGGCGCGCCCCCGTTTTTTTTTTCATTTTCCTTCGTTTCGGAAAAATGATGCGGCGCTTTGTGAGCGTCGCGCCGACCGGCGCGGCGATATCCACCGGGCGCCCCTGTTCCTCTCCGCCCGCGTGTGTATACCAGCGTGTACCGGAAAATTTAAATCAACGAATAGCGTTCAGCAGTTCTATTGTAACGAGAAGAATGGGAGACGCGGAAGCGCAGCGCGACAGATACGCCGGAGGTTGAATATCAAATGGGACATGACCGGTGCTTTATTTCTATTCCGCTTTCATGTTCTCGCACCTCTCCGGTGCGTGTGAGCGCGCGAAAGAGAGCTTTGTGCGTTTTTTCTCCGTTCTGTTTTTTTTCCCCGACGTAGAGCGCGGAGAGAATCGTTATTGGATCGGACCCAGACACGGCCCGGAGGCTAAAAGCCCGAGACGCCGCCCCGCGACGTAAGACGGGGTGAGATTGTACGAGGCGATGCAAACGTCCCATTACACAAAAGTCTCGGAAGATTCTAATCCTACAGGGACTCAGCGTCGCAAAAATCCAAAGAAAGAGCCGAAGGTGGTACGAGAATCGCACTTTCCAACAATCCGATCGATGCCGGATCGCATCACTAACGTCCCGTTGAATAAAAGTCTTTGGAGAAAGATACAACAAGCGGTGAGAACCCAATCTTCTGCGAAGCATTGAGAAGTCTGAAGGAAGATACGGAAGAAGAAGATATACGAACGTTCTCCCAATTCGATTAGATGAACAATTACAGATGATTAAAGGAGACGTCACTTGGTAGACTAATAACAAAATATCTCGGTATTTTCCTATACTTTTTTCCAGCTCAGTTAACGGCGCTTTTAACCGATTACTCGTCTTCCTTAAAACACCTTTTGTTATGACAGCAAAAATTCGCGTACTTTAAATCGATAATCGATTTAATTTTTTATGCTGATGAACGTCGTGTTAAAATTACCGTGAAGAATTTACTGCGAAAAGTATCACCTCAGGACTCAAACCTAGAATCCATAACTGGATTATCTTCACCAATTCGACCACTGAGGCAATCGGAGATGTTTGTCGCAATAATCGGTTGATAATAAGAGGACACGTTGTTTCAGGAGACATAAATAAACAATAATAAGTGAAGTAGGGCCGGTATGAATCTACTGCAACTAATCGGAGAAGATGCCATTTTTTTGGACTAGGTTTTGGTATTCCAATAACAATATTTTCCTGTGAACGTTTTGTACTTTTTCCAGCTGAGTAAACTGCACTTTTAACCGATTACTCGTCTACTTTAAAACACACCTTTTGTTATGACAGCAAAAATTCGTGTACTTTAAATCGATAATCGATTTAATTTCTGATGCTAATAAACGTCATGTTAAAATGACTGTGAAGAATTTACTGCGAAAAATATAATCTCTGGGTTCAAACCTAGAACCAATAACTGAGTGTCTTCACCAATTAGTACCATAAATAAACAGTAATAAGTGAAGCAGGGCCGATATGAATCCAATGCAGTTAATCGGAGGAGATGCCATTTTTTGGTATTCCAATAACAATATTTTCGTGTGATCGTTTTGTACTTTTTCCAGCTGAGTAAACTGCACTTTCAACCGATTACTCATCTTCTTTAAAATACACCTTTAGTTACGACAACAAAAATTCGCGTACTTTAAATCGACAATCGATTTAATTTTTGACGCTAATGAACGTCATGTTAAAATCACTGTGAAAAATTTACTGCGAAAAATATAATCTCAGGGTTCAAACCTAGAACTGGGTGCCTTCACCAATTCGTCATAAATAAACAATAATAAGTGAAGAAGGGTCGATATGAGTCTAATGCAGCTAATCGGAGAAGATGCCACTTTTCAGTCGGGCTGGGTTTTCGTATCCCAATAACAATATTTCCGCGTGAGTGTTCCGTACTTTTTCCAGCCGAGTAAACTGCGCTTTTAACTTTTGTTTGTTTTATCGGTCTTAAAAAACACGGCTTTTTGTTGCAACAGTAAATCCACACGCCTCAAATCGATAATCGATTTAACATACGATGCTAACGAGCGTCACATTAAAATCGCTGTAAAGAATTTCTCGTAAAAAGTAATCGCCTCAGCCAGGGACTTGAACCTGAGATCGCCCTCGAAACAATCCCTGACGGGTGTCTTTAGCGGCAGGAAAATTGTTATACGATCCGCGGAAATCCGTAATCCCAGGCAACCTTGCGAGGACTCGCGTGACCCTACGTAACCCTGTTGGACAAGTTGGTAAGGGGGAAAGTTGGGCGTTTTTCCACTCAGCATAGCTTTCCAAATTATCGATTTGGCAAGGCCGGCGGGAAACAGTCGGCGCAACATCGTTGACCTAGATCCTGGCGACAGTAACGCCTCCCTTGTTAAGGCACCGAGTGCCCTAAAGTTAATGCGCGCCGGCAAGTACATACACGGCGGCTCATAATGGGAATAATCCTCTTAACCGCGCGAAGAACAATCTCCAGTATGTCGGCGGGTAAATATGATGGATAATTTAATGGCGCGGCGTTTCGAGCGACGGGGCAGGCATACCGACCTAGGCGCGGCCGTATCGCGTAGGGTGAAATATCACGTCCGAACTTCGCCAGCAACAACAATCGCAGCTCGCGATTTAATTCGGCCCGAATGGAAGGAAGGCGGAAAGCCCTCGAAGGGCCGGGGGCCTGCGCGCGACTCGATTAGCGCTAATCTAATTCCCTCCTCCGTCTATATTAAAAGAGATTGGAACTAATTGACTACATGGATAGCTGACAATGCTGATAACTCCTGCTTCCGCTGAATTAGAAAATTGATAGTCGAATAAAAGGAAGGATAATTTTCACCGCAAGATACTTTTTTATTATCTTAATCGGCAATATATGATAATAGCAAGAATCGCGCGGATACTCTGTTCCCATAATTGGATCTAGAGAAGAAAACAGCCGTAAGTACCGTGAGATAGGAAAGGCACTTACAATTAGCTGGGATATCGTCTCGTTTGCTATTCGGGGCACGCGAACGTCGAAACTTCGTATCGCGAAAAAGGGACCGGCTCTCGGTCGCGGGGACGGAGGGGGGGGGGGGGTAAAACTATGGAACCCAATGGAACAAACACGAGGATAAATATGCGGCGATCCGGGCGGCTGGCAGATTTACGAAGCCAGATTTATTTGGCGGAAACGGAAGGGACAGAATAAAGTCGGTCTATTGACGAATGTATTTCGACGGGGACGAAGTCGGAGCGGTTTGCGTATCGTGACAATGCCTGAACCCGACAAATCGGGTAAGACTGTTGCCAATGGCGCCATCCGGCCGTCATAAATATCACCTCGGCTCCGCCAATTGATAGCGATATCTCGTTCGGCGAGAACGATACACAAAGTAGGACGTGATACGCGTCTGAACACTAAATCACGCCGGGCTGCTCGCCAGACGAGCCAATCTCCACATCCCGCGGCCATTTAGCCCTTTCACGCGGGAGAGTCGCGCGCGGCCCTTTGGTTCCTAGCCGATCGAATAATTCACGTGCCGCACATAGACACACAAAAATCAGTTGATACTCGAGGTGGAATCGGCGTAAATTAAATTTAGCGCGAAGGGGTTTTAAAACGTATTGCGATTTCGGAGATAAAAATTGAATTTTTCAGAACGTGGCGAAACACTATTGCAGTCAGCTTCATCGGACCTGCCATGGGGAAGTTTAATAACCGTAATAACTATCATAGATAACCGTTTCTCTTAATACTATGGAAAATTGAAGAGAAATGGGAAAACGTCATAATAAGATCGATTGCGAGAGAACGTGGATAAAAGTAATTTGCCGTAAACCTTTTTATGCAACTAGTAGTACGTTAAACTATCGAGGGCCTGGGTAGCTCAGTTGGAAGAGCATTCGCCCGGCAGACTGTAGGTCCCAGGTTCGAATTCTAGTCTAAAGCCCGGTCTACAAGTCAGAAATCATAAACCCGTAAAAAAACATAAAGAAAAACGTTGATCCACAGTGAGTCATAAGTCACTATATAATCTAGCCAATCAGAGACGAGGAAATTTATAGGCAATTATTTGCCTCAACAAGTTCGATGACTTCGAAATCGTCAATATTCACGTTGGATGCAGCGATTTCCTTCGTTAAACAAGTTTGGTTGAACACCGTTTTGTTGAACAACACTTAAAAAATACCCAGAATCGAGGTTATATTCTGAAATGTTTCTCTGTTAGTTTTACTTAAAAGATTATAATATATGTATACGCATATACTATAAATTGTCAGTAAGTACCAATTTTTCTCACATAAATATTAAATATTTCGGAATATAACCATAACCCTAAAGCCAGATGTCTTAGGTGGCTTGGCGCTCTCGATAAAAATGGTGGGCATATGGTTGGCTCTGAGTGGCCAATCATAAGCTACGTATAAGCTATAAATCAGAAAGATTGGATTTTGCCAGTCTTCTTACGATTGCCGCGTTCCGACTTATGAGTATCTTATAACAGGCTTATAACTCGCTTGTGTCTTCCAACTACTGACTTCTCTCTCATTGTAGACCGGGTTTTATCCTAGCCCGTTACTTTTCCCGCAGAAAATTAATAAGTGACGCGTCTTAGTGCCTACCTCCCCGAAGATACGCCCATATTTATTTCCAGTTTGAAAGCACTTGTTCCAATTAAAAATTCTAGTTGCGCCTCCATTTGCTAAAGGACCGAACGCAATTATCTCGATAACGGAGGAATAACTGAAGATTATACTTGAAAATTCTCCCTCGTTCCTGCCGTTCAGATCATTGACTAATCCCAATTTCATTGTATCCCGCGATTTATCTCGTCTGTCATTCGATAGCACGCGACACGCGACGATTGGAGTTAAGCCCATCGGCGATAATTTCGGTGCGATCACGGTGATGTTATACTAGCCGTAACCGCCGATAATGGACACCGGGAGCGTCGCACTGACCATAAGCGGAGCTTGTTTTGATTGCAGGCTTTCTAAACGCCAACACAGACTCGCACTTACGCTCGCCGGCGAATTATGGTCTGATGGACCAGATCGCAGCGTTACACTGGGTACAAGAGAACATCGCTTATTTCGGGGGCGACCCCAAAAACGTCACGCTGGTGGGACACGGCACCGGCGCCGCCTGCGTGAACTTCCTGATGACCAGCCACGCGGTTCCTGACGGTGAGTTCGCTCTTCCACCTCATATTCGCAATGTCCTCGAATCTGCATTAACGCAAAGTCGCTTAAATTCTTTCCATAATACGTAAATCATTATCTAAAATATTATGGGATTTTTTATAAATGAAAGGTAGTAGTACAGAGAGAGAGAAAGTTCTTAATCGCGCGCTCACAAGAATCGTTTGAGACCATTGAGCTATAACCATATTGGAATGAGCACTGCCTACCTCCTCCATAGTATCATAACTACCTAGTATGCCCACTCTCTGTCGGTCCTTTGATCCTTTCGGTTTCGATCGCGTGGTATTCCGCCATTATGTTGGAGTAAAATCCTTTCGCACTGTCGCACTACCACATGTACAACATCCGTCTCATTGGCTTCGCTAAAATAATGGCGGATGCGCAAAAAGGATCGACGCAAAACACAACAAATGACAGAGTGGGCATACTTATAGTTATACTATGATAGTATCGAGCAGTCAGAGGGAGATAGTTAAGCTGGGACCGTGTTATCTCTAACGTTTCTTCCGCGGCGTTCCGCTTGGAGTGCCGAGCGGCGTGGACGTTTTTGCCTAACCTAATTAGGAAATTTTTGACTTTGTTCACTTACGTGTAACTCGACGCTCGTGGGTCGGTTGGGCGCGGCCTTAATTTTCTTGTTGCCGATAATTAGAAGCTAAATAATACACAAACGACTATTGGTTCGACGTGGCCGTGTCAAGAATAAGACAAAGAAGAAGAAATCTCTTCTGCGGCTGAAATGACGTCACGTGAAGTGAGTCACGTGACCGCTGTAGTTAGTTAGACAAGGATACCACGGTCCTAGCCCAACTATCTCTCTCGCTGTGACCGCACGAAAACAATGGAGTGCTCCTTCCAGTACGTTTGTAGTGCAATGTTCGAGACTGGCTAACTCCGTCGTCGTTGCCTTTCCTTTTTTTTTGCCGGTTCGGGCGGACGATTGTGTTTTATTTTCCGCCGTCTTCACGAGGCAGTACGCTTGGCGCTAGCCGAGCAGGGGGTCGATACACGTATATACGTATACATTTTTCACGCGACAATTCTCGGATCCCACATTACATGTGCAAAGCGATTTGTATTAACGAGCTTCATGCACGCAGAAACGAAGTGTCAGATAAACTATTGTGTACTCACATTAACGCGTTTATTGTTTTGTATACAGGATGTTATGTAATACCCGCATCAACGCTTATTGTGGGATAGAGTGGACTAGACTAAGTCGAAAAGTCCTGTACCACTTTGCAGGTTTTGCAATAGTTAACGAGTTATTAATTATTAAAAATCGCTGTCTTAGGCCGGCCCACTGCCCAATTCAAACGTGCGGCGAGATCGATCGATCGA